AATAATGCTAGGGAAATCAATTACAATACATAAAGTTAAGATCTTTACACTTTTCCCAAAAAGTGAACAAAGGTCAACCCCGGGCTTGCTTGGTCAAAATCTGAGATTTGGACCAAAACCATTTACCCTCGAGCGCGATTATGTGATTAGTTTCAAAATCCGATCTCAATTTGAGGTCTAAATCCCAAATTTACAAAACCCCCCAATTCTTCCCCAATCCCTAATTTTCTACCATGAAAGAACATATATTAAGGTTAGTAACTAATGGGTGTGGATGGAAATGGAAGAAAATAAGTTAAAGTACACTAACCTATTAAATGGTGATGAAATTTCTCTTCCAAATCACCTCTAGGCCGAGCTCTAATGAAAAGATGGTGAAAATGGGTAAAAATGGCCTCGGGTCTTCATCGCGTTCGCGAAGGGCCTGACGCGATAAGCACTGTGGCGCAAATGGTCTTCGCGTTTGAGAGAGGTGCTCCGCATTTGCGATAGTTCTTCCCCTTACCATAGAATTCGCAACCCAGTGATCTCGTTCGCGTAGCATACCAGCCCAGCCTTCCCAGGGTCCCACAAACCTTCGTGTTCGCGAAGGGTAAGCCTCCCAAAGCTTCACGTTCATGACCTATTCCCCGCGTTCGTGTAGGGTAAATCCCTCCCCAGCCCAGGTTGCTTTTCATGATCGCGGGAGTATCTTCGTGATCGCGAAGAAGAAAGCACCAGATGACAACAAAAGCTCAAAAACCAGAAATTTTCCTAAGTTCAAATCACCCGTAGCCTATCCGAAATTCACCCGAGCCCCTCGGGCTCCAAAGCAAACACACATACAAGTGTAATAACATCATGCGAACTCGCTCACACGATCAAAATATCAAAACAACACCTAGAACCATGAATCGGACACCAAAACAAATGAAATTTTTAAAGAAACTTAAGAACTTTCAATTTTTCAATCGGACGTCCGAATCACGTCAAATCAACTCCGTTTTGCACCAAAATTTACAGACAAGTCATAAATACTGTAATGAACATATTCCAAGTTCCAGAACCAAAATCTGAACCCGGTAGCAATAAAGTCAACCTACGGTCAAACTTATGAATTCTTTAAACCTTTAAATTGCTAGTTTTCAACAAATTACGGTAATTCAAGTTAGGGACTTCCGAATTTGATTCCGGGCATACGTCCAAGTCCCAAATCACGATACAGACCCACCGGTTCCGTCAAAACACTGATCTGGATCCATTTACACAAAACATTGACCGTAGTCAAATCCAATGAGTTTTAAGGCACGATTTCACATTTTCATCAATTGTCTCATAAAAACCTTCCAGAAAAAGGACACGGACTGTGCATGCAAATTGAGGAAGGCTAAATGGAGCTATTCGAGGTCTTGAAACACATAAATGAAAGGTAAAACTATAAATGACCTATCAGGTCATCACATTCTCCACCTCTAAAATAAACATTCGTCCTCGATCGGACATAGAAAAGTACCTAGACTGGTGAAAAGGTGTGGATATCTACTCCGCATATCCGACTCGAACTTTCACGTGGCTGTCTCGATTTCCTGACATCTCTACCGCACTCGAACTGAAGGATAACTCTTAGACCTCAACCGTCAGACCTATCGGGCTAGAATAGCCACCGCCTCCTCCTCATAAGTCAAATCCCTATCCAATTGGACTGAGCTGAAATCTAACACATGGGATGGATTACCATGATACTTCTAGAGAATGGACACATAGAACACCGGATGGACAGCTGACAAACTAGGTGGCAATGCAAACTCCTCAAGCGGCAAGAACTGATCCCATGAACCCCCGAAATCCATAACGCAGGCGCGAAGCATTTCCTCCAATATCTGAATAGTGCGCTCGGACTGCCCGTCCGTCTGGGATGAAATGTTGTACTCAACTCAATCTGCATGCCCAACTCATGCTGTACGGCCCTCCAGAAGTGCGAGGTAAACTGCGTACCTCGATCAGAAATAATAGACAAGGGCACACTGTGTAGACGGGCGATCTCGCGGATGTAGATCTCAGCTAACCGCTTTGAAGAATAGGTAACTGCCAATGGAATAAAATGTGCCGACTTGGTCAACCTGTCCACAATGAACCATATCGCGTCAAACTTCCTCTGAGTCCGTGGGAGTCCAATAACAAAATCCATAGTGATACACTCCTACTTCCACTTAGGAATCTCTAGCCTCTGAAGAAAACCACCACGCATCTGATGCTCGTACTTTACTTGTTGACAATTTAGACACAGAGCTACATATGCAACTATATCCTTCTTCATCCTCCTCCACCAATAATGTTGCCGCAAGTCTAGATACATCTTGGCGGCACCCAGATGAATAGTGCACACTATTCAGATATTGGCGGATCTTGACCCTCATTCGAGGATGAATGATCCTAAGCGGGGGAGGATGTAAGGCCCCATAAAATTTTACCTAAAATCTAGGGTTTCCTGGTACAGAGGTAGGCTAATATATTTGAGGGTTGTAGAAAATATTCGATCGCCTAATCATTTTGCGGGCCGCACATCTGTCGCAGAACCAGCATGAAGATTTTCGGAGGGAGATTCCGTGGTCCATTCTGCAGTCACAGAATTGATATGCGGGCCACAGACCTAGCCGCAGGCTGGACTAGACCAGCCCAGTTTTTTGGACCATTTCTGCAGTCCATTTTGCGGGCCACAGATCTAATCTGTGGTTCACTCTGTGACCACAGAGTTGAGTTTGGAGGGACCATTTTCTGGTTTTAAAAACCGACCCCATTTTTATAAAACAACATTATGGATCATTTTAGAAGGTTCAAACTGATATTTTAGAGAGAGGAAAGTGGTCTAGAGTGAGATGAAGAGTATCTAAGCTATTTATTCATCAATCTTTGCTCACGTCTTGAAGAATTCACAAGGATAACTCACAAAGACTTCATTCAAGAGGTAAGATTCTAGCTCTAGCCTTCAATTTCGAAATTTGGGTTGGTAATAGGTAATTGGGAAGAAGGTTTTGAGAATAAGAGTTGTTATTAATGCATGCATGTACTAACAAAGGTGGTCGGAAGGTTGTGGAGTATTTGTGGGTGGCCTATTTGTAAGGCCCCGTAAAATGTTACCTATAACCCGAGGTTTTGTGGTGCGTTGGGGAGTTGAAGAAATTTTTGGCAGTGCAGGGCATTTTCTGCGGTTCATTCTGTGATCGCAGAACTGATTTGCGGACCGCATCTGCCACGGAATGAAGTAGAAACTTGAGCTAATTTTGAGGACCATTATGTGGCCCATTATGCGGCCGCATAACCCTTTTGCGGGCCACAGATCCCATCACAGAACCAATGTGAGAAATTTCGGAAGGAGGTTCTATGGTCCAGTATGTGACCGCAGAATTGGTCTGCAGACCGCAGACCTATCGCAGAGTGAAGCAGGAACGTCCAGTTCTGGAGGGCCATTATGCGGTCCATTTTGCGGACGGCAGAAGAGTTATGCGGTCACATATGCGACCGCAGATCTGCATCGGGGCTCCATTTTTCCAATCTTATAAACTGAGCCCCATTTCATTTATCTAGCCTAAGGGTTCATTTTTGGGATGTTACCTGACATTTTGGAGAGAGGAGAGAGCTATTCTCGAGAGAGGAAAGGGAGGACTAAGTATTTCACTACTCTACTTTGATCAAACCTTGGAATTCCATCAAAAGGAACTTGCTAGGGCTTCAAAAAGGTAAGTATTTCTTCACCCAATTCTTCAATTTTGGGTTTGGGTTGATTGTGGGTGATGAGGGTATGATTTATCACATGCATGAGCTAATAGAGACTGTGGGGAAGTTGTTGAACAATCTTGGGTGGTTTTGTTGTTGAATTAGTTTAGGGAAAGGTTGGGTCATAGTTGTAACGGTCTTTGCCATATGAATTCCTCTAATCATGCTTATAATTCTCTCCTCCTTGATAGATTGGCATCGTTAGGAGTGTTGGGACATTATTGTGGCGCTACGAAAAGCTCTTTCGAGGTATGAAGGCTAAACTCTTTTTCTGGTATTGGAATTCCCGTGTTCCTACCAAACTCCATCATGTGAAGTTCGAACATGGAACGCTATTGATGTGGGGTATTCAAACGAGTAAAAATGATTCCTAATTGGCATAATGTGTTAGAACCCTCGTGTGTTAATGATTCTCTATTTTTTTACTTAATTATGTTATACCCTTTTGGGAAGAAGATATTGTATGAAATCAATGTGATTAAACACTTATTTCTCATATGATGAAATCTTATGAACTTACACTTGCTAAGGCCAAATGTGCCAAATGGTTGACTTGAAAGAGAACTCTTTTGTACAAACTATTATCGTTTTGGGAATCCAAAGTGTGGCATTGTGAATACACCTCTACCCGCATACATTGGGGGTGAGGCGGTGGGGCCACTTTGTGTAGGGTTGTGGTATTGTGAATATATCTCCACCCGCATACATTGGGGGGAGGCGGCAGGGCCGCTTTGTGTAGAGTTGTGGTATTGTGAATACACCTCCGTCTGCATACATTGGGGTGAGGCGGCAGGGCCGCTTTGTGTAGAGTTTGTGGTATTGTGAATACACCTCCGTCTGCATACATTGGGGTGAGGCGGCAGGGCCGCTTTGTGTAGAGTTTGTGGTATTGTGAATACACCTCCACCCACATACATTGGGGTGAGGCGGCAGGGCTGCTTTGTGTAGAGTTTCTGGTATTGTGATTGCACCTCCACCCGCATATATTGGGGTGAGGTGGTAGGGCCGCTTTGTGTAAAGGTAGTTGCAGAGGATCCCCAACTTAAAAAATTATAAATGTTATTGAAAGCTCTTAATAACCTTGATATGGCTTTAATGGCTATCTAAGCCTTTTATTTTTACCATGATTCATCATATTCGTGTTGTATTTCCAAGTCCTTGCATAGGTGTTTGGTTTTCATACTAGTACTATTTGACATGTACTAACATCCCTTTTTCTGGGGATGCTGCATCTTTAATGGATGCAGGTGGTTCCACAACGGGAGGCATTGACCAGTGAGAGTGGTACACTCTCTTCCCACTTGACTTGGTGAGCCCCACTTCTTTTGTTCTGTGTGTATTATGTTTTGAGGTATAGCCCAATTCTTGTTGCCGGCACTATCATTGTACTCTTTTGTATCTATTAGAGGCTCCATAGATATGGTGTGGGTTGTGTATTGGTATTGGGAAAGTCAAGATAGTAATGTCGTATGTGTATTACATGTTCCACTTCAAACTATGAAAGTGTATGTATTTTGAGACTTTATAAATGAAGTAACTAATGGTGATGGAATTAATGTTGTTCATGTACTCTCTTGGTGTTAATTAAGGAAGTTTATCTTCTCTTTATTTATGAGTGAGTTGGGTAGAAGGCAATCTAGTAGGCTTGCTCAGCCGGGTTATCTCGGTTGAGCACCAGTCGCGCTCCCCGAGGTCAGGGCGTGACACTATTGAAGTGGGTATTGATTATGGGGTAAAGGAATCCACCATAGGAGGACCTTGAAACTTTAATGCACACCTAGTGCTTGATAAAATGCTCAAATGAGCTGAAACCCCAATATCTTCCTAATTATGGTTCAAATTTGTCATGTTTCTAATAGATTGAAGTCGATAGGATATCCAGAATATTGTAGTAATTTAAGAAAGTTCAAGCGAGGTATGTTGGCTAAAATCCTCTTGTAGAATCGATTTCCATGATGTCCTCGTAAGTTGCAATTTAGATTGGCTCAATTTCTATTTCTCATGTTCTGAGTCCTCCCTAATAGATTTAATTTTTCTAAAATAAGTATTGTACTGAAAGATGAATATACTCAAAATGTGCTCCAAATGTTCCTATCACATCATGATTCCCTCCGAAAATGTAATCTAGCATGATCAATGTACCAATGGTGTAATGATTTAAAATCATGTTTCAATTGCAAGTTGGTATGCCTATTTGTGGAAGAGAAACTCAATGTGCTTAAGACTCTTGTTTGTTCATATGTGTGCTTAAAGTCTTGATTTGAAATTCTCTTATTGATGATAATTCATGGTAATTCTTGAAAGTTATAGGGGTGAGTATGAAATATGAAATATGGCCGACGTGCCAAGAATGATATTACAATTATGGCCACTAGTGCCAATAAAATGGGAAGACGTGTGAAAGATTATGAAATGAGTTGTAAATCCTTTAAATAATAAATGGTTTGGGAGTATCGTTTAGTCACCGAGGAAGGGTAGGTCGAAATAACCTAACCTGAAAACTATACATGCTGATGTAGGAGTGATTGAGGGGTAAATCCCCGTGTTGATGTAGGAGTGATTGAGGGGTAAATCCCCGTGTTGATGTGACGGGATTGTTAAATATGGGATGAAATTGATGTGTTGAGATATTTTCCCTTAAATGGGATGAGATTATTGCTAGCAGGATGTGATGTGATGTCGACCCACATGACATTTTAGTGAGACGGCTTAGCCGATCGGGCTGAGATCGGATGCCATGCTGCACACATGGTGGTGTTGTGATTGGATGTCTCGGGGTGAGATGGCTTAGCCGATCGAGCTGAGATTAGACCCCGTGCTAAAAATACGGTGTTATATCGGTACTAAAGATCTCCCAAATTATAAATATTGAAACATACTTGAAATTTACTTTTATCCTAACTTGACACCTTGATACTGTTTGAGGCTCTTATTGATTTCATGTTTCCTTCTCCTTTTATTGTTACTCGTTCTATTGAGAGGGTGTTTAGTTTTACATACTACTACTATTCCATATGTACTAACGTCCCCTTTGCCGTGGGAGCTGTATCTTTAATGGATGCAGGTGGTTCCATAGCAGGCGATATTGATCAGTGATAGCAACACACCCTCTCCTTAGCTGACTTGGTGAGCCTCATTTTATTTCGGGGTCTTGTATCTCTTGTCCTCTATGTATATGTTTTTGAGGTATAGCCGGAGCCTTGTTGCCGACACCATCATGCTACTCTTTTGTATCTATTAGAGGCTCCGCAGACATGGCGTGGGTGGTACCTTTGTTTTGGGAAGTCTAATTAAAAATGATTGTATTTGTATCTTATGTTTCCACTCCTAAACTATGAATGTGTAATGCAGTATTTTGGTAAATCTTGAATGAAGTTCTAACGGTAATGAAATTTGGATTGTTCATGTAACCTTCTCATGGTCTAATTAATGAAATATATCTTCTCTCTATTCATGGGGGAGTCTGGGTAGAAGGCATTGTACAAGCTTGCTTGGCCAGGTTATCTTAGTTGAGCGTCGATCGCGCTCCTCGAGGTCGGAGCGTGTCAAGCTTGGTATCAGAGCCTAAGGTTTTAAAGTGTCCTAGGATGTCTCGGAGCCGTATCTAGTAAAGTCCTTCTTATCGGTGTGTTGCTAACCACATCTATAATTAGTAGGCTACTTGGGCATTTACAAATAATACCCTTCTGGACGTTCGAGATCGTACGATAGAACTGATTGTAAGACTATTCCTCCTCTAACTCGTGCATTGCTCTAATTTTCAGTATATGGCACCTAGGAAAAAAGCAAGAACTGGCCAAGGAGCCAATGTCACCCCAGGAGTGGTAGTTGGTTCTATACCTGGTGATGTGGGTGAGCACCCGCGGGGTGAGGATATTCCCCCAGCTACTACACCGCCTGATTCTACTACTCCTACTCCGACTGCACCAATCCCTACTCCTACTAAGGGTGAAGCTATTCCACCTCCAGCCCAGCTTCCGGTCCCGGTGTTTCTTATGGGGTTCTTAGGGGAGCCATACAAATGTTGGCTTAGATAGTGGCTTCCCAAGCTTAGAGATCGAATGTTGCACCTGCTTCTTCCAGCCAACAAGGGAATTCTGCTAGTTCTAGGGTGAACAGGTTTCTTCAGCTGGACCCTCCAGTGTTCACAGGTACTGACCCTCAGGAGGACCCCTAGGACTTTATTGATGAGATGCACAAGACCCTCCAAGTTATGCATGCTACTGAGATGAAGGGAGTGGAGTTGGCCTCCTACCACCTAAAAGGGGTGTCTTATTCTTGGTTTGAGATGTGGGAGGACTCTCGTGAGGAAGGGAGCCCTCCGGCAAGGTGGAGTGAATTTGCCAACACCTTGACTGACCATTTCTTGCCTGCTGAGACTAAGGCAGCCCATACCGCTGAGTTTGAGAGCTTGAAGAAGGGTAGCGTGAGTGTGTGGGAGTACCATATGAGGTTTGCGTGCTTGTCCAAGTATTCCATCTACATGTTCCCCACTATGGAGGCAAGGGTGCGCCGGTTTGTGCAGGGCCTCTGCCCCTTGGTAATTAATGAGGCTGCTACAACTGCCTTGAATTCTGATATGAACTATGAGAAGATGGTGGCATTTGCTCAAGCCATGGAGACCCGCAAATTGAAGAACAAAATGGAGTGAGAGGGTAGCAATAAGGCCCGGTCTGCGGGCAACTTTGGTGGTTCTTCCGGTGGTGGTGGTGATAGGATAACATTCAGGGGAGGGTCGTCAGGGCCATCCCAGTCCTTTGCTCAGTCTTCGGTTAGTGCACCGCCATCAGGGTCCCGTCAGCAGCAGTGGAGTCATTTCAGGCCCAGTAAGGAAAATAGGGTACCCCACCAGTAGGGTCGGCCTGGAGGGAGATTCCAACAGTAGAGGCCCTCATGCCCTAGGTGAGGGAAGATGCATTTTGGGGCCTGATTCATGGACCAAACCATATGCTACGGGTGCAGTATGAGGGGTCACATTCAGAGGGATTTCCGTTCATCCCACCATAGTGTGGTCAAGGGTACGGCACACCCAGCCAGTTCGGTAGCCACTACATCCGCAGTACCTCCTCCAGCTCGAGGCACTAGCACCCGCAAGGCGTGGTGCAGCTAGGGGTGGTGTACAGAGTTCGGGATGTGCCATCCGTTTCTATGCTATGAGGGGTCGCCAGAGTTCAGAGGCTTCTCCAGATGTCTTCACCGGTATATTGACTGTCCAATATCATGATTTATATGCCCTTATTGATCCCGGTTCCATTTTATCCTATGTCACTCATTATGTTGCTATGGAATTTGGGATAGAACCGGAACAACTTCATGAGTCGTTCTTCGTATCTACTCTAGTTAGTGAGTCTATTATTGCCGCGCGGGTTTATAGGGATTGTGGTCATGGTGTGTGGTCGGGATACCATGGCCGATCTCACTGAGTTGGGGATAATTAATTTTTGATGTAATAATAGGGATGAACTGGCTTTATTCATGTTTTACCAAGCTTGATTGCCGAACCAGAATCGTTAGGTTTGATTTTCCGAATACACCAGTTATCGAATGGAAGGGGGATGATGTGGTGCTGAAGGGTAGGTTTATTTCTTACCTTAAGGCCACGAAGATGATCAACAAGGGGTGTATTTACCATTTGGTTTGGGTTAATGACACCGATGCTGAGGAACCTACACTTGAGTCTGTATCAGTTGTAAATGAATTTCGGTCTTTCCGGATGAGCTCCCTAGGATCCCACCAGACAGGGAGATTGATTTTGGGATTGATGTGATGCTAGGCACACAACCTATATCTATTCCACCTTAGAGAATGGAACTGACAGAATTGAAGGAGCTAAAGGAACAAATGAACGATTTGTTAGAGAAGGGTTTCATCCGGCCAAGTATGCCACCTTGGGGCGCACCGGTCCTCTTTGTAAGGAAGAAAGATGGGTTACTGAGAATGTGTATTGACTATCGGCAGCTCAACAAGGTCACAATAAAAAATAAGTACCCACTACCAAGGATAGATTACTTGTTCGACCAATTGCAGAATGCCAAGTACTTTTCCAAAATTGATTTTAAGGTCCGGGTATCACCAATTGAAGATCAGGGAGCAGGATATTCCTAAAACAGCTTTCAGAACCCGATATGGGCAATTCAAATTTCTGGTAATGTCCTTTGGGCTAACAAATACCCCGACAGCTTTCATGGATCTTATGAATCGAGTATTCAAGCATTTTCTTGACTCCTTTGTGATGATGTTCATTGACGATATTCTTATATATTCACGAAGTCTAGAGGACCATGCTGATCATCTCAGGACAGTTCTATAGACTATATATCAGCACCAGTTGTATGCGAATTTTCGAAGTGTAAATTTTGGCTTGAATCTATCACATTCTTGGGTCTTGACATCTCTAGAGAAGGAGTTAAGGTTGATCCGCAGAAGATTGAAGCTGTGAAGAATTGGCCTACAACACCAACAAAGATTCGCAGTTTCTTGGGCTTAGCTGGTTATTACAGAAAGTTTGAGGAGGGGTTCTCTACTCTTGCTTCCCCGTTGACTGAATTGACGCAGAAGAGAGTTA